CTCTGACTAAGAAACCCACTTCACTGATATCCGAATCACAATTGTTAGAATCAGAGACCTTGAATAGGCGAAGCGGTTTGGCTACTGGTTTCTACTGACGGTGACCGCTGATTGCTCTTTGAACGACTGGGTGATGAATGGCGTTGCCGATTTCTATCAGTTCGGTTTGAAAGCGATCATTTTGCTACTGCCACATGGCTGGAATTCCATGCAAGTGGCTTACTTTTGGTATGTGATTCCTAGTTCAATAGGTGAACCGATGTATAACATATTCTATGTAACAAGGCGGAAGTGAGATCATAAATAAGTGCTAGATTGGGATATACAGTGCTATTACTTGAAGCCATTGATGGGAATTTGACCGGAATGATATCCTTCAGAAGCGTCACATGCTCGTGCCATGTAAGAGTTTGCTCCCCCATCATACAGCTTAGTCGAACAACTTCAAAAACTAGGATCGACTTACCAACGTTTTTATTTGTGTTGGTAGCCGTGCTAGATTGCGCCATTTTGGCGCAACTCACTGATGTAAAGGTGGTGAGCGGCGCCGGGAAAGGATCGTTGAAGTTAATCCAGTGCAATATTTGGTAATGACGATGAGAACCCTGATTGAGCAATCCGTGGCCCACTAAGAGGACGAGGTCTCGAGAGCGCGCGCTAATGCAAGGGCATTCTCGAAGTCCCGCAGGTGTGTCGGGCATTGTCCCACTGATAGCATCTGCTCATCGCCATCGTGCTGACAGTCGGGTGATCAATCGCCCCTGTTTGAAATCGCTCTCATCAGTTGAAAAAACACCATAAATCACCGGCATTTCATCAGTTTTCTTTGCTCTCTCTCATAAGGTATACAATATTTATACATAAAATCTGTGAAAATACATCTGAAATCTTTTACAATTGTAATGACGAGTCAGTGTACCGGCAGTGTGCATATTACATGGACCCCCTCCCTCAAATTACGTTTGCTTCTTCGAACGTCGAAAAAGAATCCTCCAGAGCCATTTCAGCTTCTTAGGCTTTTTCGTCTTTGTTGTGCGAAGGTCTTGAAGTTTCTGCAGTCGACGGCATTCCAGAAGGTGATCGTCGATTTCCTGGAAGAAGAAGACTTACTTAGCCAGGGAAGATTGTGAGCCAAATGAACGCTCATATAATAACTGGCAGGATTTTTTTGGTGTTAAAAGTGGACCGTGTAAGGAGTCAACCAAGCAATGCTTACCTTGAGACGCTGAGCAGTCTTTTTCCTATCTTGCTCGGGCAGCTTCTCCTCAGCCATCCTTGCTCTGGCTGCCTCAATCATGCAGATGGTCACAGTGGCCTGGAATATGACGCGTGCAGGTCCAGGTTACAGTCATTGTCCTTGCAAACGATAGGGTGTCTGACGGGGCATTGCTTGGAGCATGGCCAGGTTAAATTTTCCACCATTTGTGAGGGGTTCAAGATGCCATAATTGATGGAAAAAGGCGCCTTGGCAAGGCAGCAAAAGCATTCGCGACCATTAAAACATTTTCCTGTAGTCAGAAATGATCAGGGAAAGTCCTCTAAACCTAAGTGATTCTAATACTGTTGTGCCTCTTGAGGTTTTTTTAAGTCTTCTAAGCCTAAGTGGAAGAGTTGGAGAGGAAGCGCCGTGGGGAGAGACGTTCCTAACCGTCCTAGGTTCAGGCAAGCACTGGTTCTAGCTTCATGCAAGCACTGGTTCACCAGGAGCAACACAAAAAAGTTTCACTGGAAGGAACGAAAGAGCCCACAATCTTCCATAGCTCAGAAACCTCACAAGGACAAATTGGAGCTACCGTAATCGTGCAAACTGCTGCTAATTGCCCGTGTTGGACTAACGCCAACCACCTCACGTGAGGTCTAAATCTGTTTCAGGATCGAGGCGAACCTTCCCATATCATGAGAAATTGACAGTTGCAATAAAGTTTATCATGGACAAGTACTTGAGAATAAGTATCAGTCGAGTAACATATTAGTACAGCAGTAGAGTTACCTGGTCGCAAACATCCGCGTATATGTTGCACAGGTAGGCCAAATCGTCCAGTATTGCGATTCGCTCCGGTTCGTACGAAAGAAAAGTCTAGAAAGGTATATTTGTAACTCGAGAGAAGTGCTCCCCCCGCCGATATTCGCTAACTCACCTTTGATGCGTGCCTCATCAACTCCGTATATGCACAC